AGCTTTACGCACTTTCTTTGACTGCCTACATATAGCTTTACGCACTTTCTTTGACTGCCTACATATAGCTTTACGCACTTTCTTTGACTGCCTAGGACTTTTGCACAGTCCCGTACTTGTGGTGTGGCCCAGATACCCATAGGCTTCTAAAGGTCTTAGAACTCACCCCTGTCTGGGGATCCAAACCTCCCAAGTAGGCAGGTGATACTGCCTACTGAGCCGTCTTTGTGCCGCTGTAGACGTTGGCGCATGGGGAGCAGAGAGCAGCCCCGGAGGTGACAGACACTAACGGCCAGGCAGGGCTGCAGGTTTGTCCGGCACCAGCCTGACTGCATGCTTCTCAGGTTCAGGTTCAGTGGTGTTCAAGCAGTACTGGGTGCTGTTAGCGACATTTGCTAACACGACTGCCTTTCTCTTCCCTGGGGGAGCTAGCAGTCACCCCGGGCCAACACGGAGCACGTGCAGATGCGGAAGGTTAGGCGCCTGCCCCCAGTGTCTGGTAGTCACCATCCCCCCTTATGCATCACTGTGGCCATCACTGCTTGCATTCTCTCTTTCCATCCATTTTGTTTCAAGAGACAGTGGCCTGTTTTTGACTGGTTGCATCTGAGATTGTTAGGATGAAGGGTTTGTGATGTAGCAGGAAGTGATGTCACGGAATGTGCCCTGTGATGTTAATTCTGCCAAGTTCCGAATCTGATCTGATTGCGGGACATTTTGAAGTGGTATGAAATTCAAACGAACTGAGCAGAGACTAGTTGTAACTCAGCTTTGTCACTTAATGCAGATTCTCAGCTTCGCTTCGTAAAACATATTGGAAGTGCCCTATGCAGCATTATTACCTCAAAGCAGAATGGCTGCATTATCCCTCAAAGTAAAATACAGCACTGAAGAGGGTGAATTCAGCCAGCTGTGTGCCTTAAATGTGCTTGGGTCATAAATTCTCCTCGTGACACTGTCCAGATTTAGTGTCTGATGATTCACCATCTCATTTGTCAAAATAACTCCTTGGCCGTCTGTGAATCCGACGCATTCTCGCTGTCCCTCCCCCCAATCCCCCCCCCCCCCCCCCCCCCCCCCCCCAAACCCAAAATCCAACCCAGCTGCCTCCACTCTCATACACTGGAGAAAGAAGCAGATGGTTTTTTTAAAGAGCTTCAGTACAGAGAAGTTCTTCTGGCATCACTTAGTCTCATTGAACTGCATTGTAATTATCAGTAATGCAGTCACAGCTTCTTGGTATTAAAAATTACAGAACCGGTTGCTGGTTTTCAATACTTTATCAGCATTAATATCAAAGTTAATTACAATAACCACAAATGTCTATTGCCTCTTATCTTACGCACATCAGCCCCCAGGGCTTTTCTTTTTCTCTCCTATGTTGTTGTTTACATAGAATATTACGGACAGGGCCACCTACTGGCAGTTTCTATAAATTGTCCCAAATTGCTAAATTAAATTTGCTAAAGAAAGGTGAAATAAGGTTAGTAACTAATCTGAATCGCATTTCTTTTACGTTAAATTGAATTTCCATCACTTCAATATGAAACAATGTTAATCGAAATAATAAAGACACAATAGCAGTTTCTATCCGTTTATGCCTGTTTGAAGTATTGACATTATCAGGCTGAGGCTGTAAAAATGGCTGGAGTGCACTGGCGACCGGCCCAGGATCCTGCCCTCAGAAGCACAGTGCCCCACAGAGGCACAACACAGTAACTGCACGTTTTATCAAAACAGAGTTACGATTGAAATCAGGTCACTTAGGCTCTGTTTGATCTTATCTAAGTTCAGCTGCGCTCAGCTTTAAAGAAACAAAATCCACACTAATGCTGAGGTAAAATCCTTTGTTTCTTGGTTTCACTGTCAGCATAGTCCCTTATTTGCCTTTGTAGGGTAGGACAGCTGTCTGGCGTCTTTGCAGAATATCCCCACCCACTGGGGTCATTCTCAGGAAACGGAATACTGTCTCTGTCTCCCCGCCCCATGCAGTGCCCCTCGCACGTCTACCCCCACTGGCCAAACCCTCGGCACCCCTCCTGTATTGGATTTCCATCCCCTCCCTCATCATCTCCACGTCTCGATTAGCAGAGAGTTTGCTGTTTGTCAAAAGGTGACACATTCAGAATTCATTTTTTTTCTCCTCTTCCCTCCCCAGAAAAGAGTGAAGAGAGTCGAGGGGGAGACGATCTACATCCGACACAGCAATCTGATGCTGGAGGTTTGTTTTCCTCTGCTGTCCTTCACCTTCCCTGTCCTCGCTGCCTTGCCGTTTGCCGCTGCCTGTCGGCCGCATCTCCATAGCCGTCTGAGTGCTTCTCTGCTTCCTACACACATCTTCTGGATGTCTGACCTGGAGTGTGGGCCTTCACATGCCACTGCATGTCTCCAGAGACTCCCAGCTTAAGGCGCTATGACAGCGTCTCCTTCCTTCTGTGTTATCACTGCTTCCACAATGTTGTCATTGTCGGGAAATTATCCAATGCGAGATTTCGCAAAAGCCAGCTTATAAACCAGCGGAGATCCTGAGATCCTCGCACTCCCAGCTCTGCTCTCACTCAGCAACTGAGAGCTCTGTGTTGATGCAAAGTCCCGATGACATCATCTGCTCCTCGGTCCCGGGGAAAGCTGTCCTGTTGGGACCAGTATGGGTTGCAAGCTACCAGCTAACTACACAAGCAACCTAGGTTAGGGGTATCAATAGGTTAGGGGTATCGAATAAGACCTCATAGGCCACAAGAAATCCTTGTAATAAAGAGTATTATAAGAGTCTTTACTATGATTAATGCAGATGGAACAGTAAAATTTAACTTGGAATATAAATGTCCTGACTTACAGCTCTAAATTCCCTAGATAAAACTCGATAATTCGTCCACTCTTCCTGGCACTACCTCTGTACTGGTAGTCATCCTCTGCATATCGTCTTATAAAACAAAAGCTTTTGGCCTGAAGTTAGTGATATTAGCCCACCGTACATAGTTTTAGATAATAATCCTTTCTTGTTAGTTTTTCTTCAGCTCCCTTATTTAACTGAATTCGCTTCCAAGTGTTGCTGCAAGCCCAGAGCTCCGTGATGGCTTCCCTCTAGTGGCATGACATGGAACTGCAATTCCGAACAAAAATCCATTTCTGTTCCCGAAATGATCTTGCATACCTGTTGTAAGAAGTTCAGCGTCACAACACTGTCTGTCTGGCAGTCTTTAAGGGAGCAGGGATGGTAAAACTGCTGGAAGGACTGTGTACTGTCAGGTCAGTGTGAGATTAGACACACAGTGAGACGACAATGGTGCTGTAATGGGATGTGTAGAATGTAAAGGCTGGTCCCACATCAGAAGATCCTCAAGGAGAAGACAATCAAGAAGCGAGAGGTGGGCAGTGGTGGTTAGGGAAGCGCACTTGTAATTGAAAGATTGCAGGTTCGAATCCCCGACCAGCAAGGCACCACTGAGGTACCCTGAGCAAGGTACCGCCCCCAAGCACTGCTGCCCCCTGCTATGTCACATTGTCACATATGGGTTAAATGCAGAGGACACGTTTCATTGTTGTGCTGTGGTGTGTCAACAATGACAAAAAATAAATAAATCTCTGAAGATGTCCTCCTCCTCATTATAAATTGCATTCTGCCTGTCTCATCTTCCCCATCTCACCGCTTTGCCGTCCACCATAATCATGTACATTTAGACAGATGTACATTTTTCTGCTTATTTGTCACACACATATTGTACAGCAGTTTCTAGTACTTTTGCACTATTTTACACTTTCGGATTGGATGCCAAACTGCATGTCATTTGTCCAGTGACAAAGTTAAATTCTTTTTCTCCTCCTCCTCCATGGCAGGACTTGGACAGAACCCAGGAGGTGATTATGCGGCACCACGCCAGCATCAGTGAGCTGAAGCGCAGCTTCATGGAGGCCGTGCCTGAACCGCAGCCCAACGAGTGGGACAAGCGGCTGTCCACACACTCACCCTTCCGCTCCGTCAGCATCAACGGGCAGCTGCAGCCGGGCGACGTTGTGAGTGCACCGTCCTCGTGCCGCGCCCCGCACGCCCCTGTCAAGCTGCTGCCCGTCTTACCATGGTCACAGCTACCAATCGCACTGTGTCAGAGGCAAAGCTGTCGCAGTTAATGCACTTGTACATGCAACGTCCCGCCTCTCCCCTTGTGCCATAGTCATACCTGTCTGGTTTGAAGTTCACTGGTCACTGCATGCTGAGTGTGGACTCTCCATGTGTGATCCCATAACATTCAGGCATGCTTCTGCACTTGCGGGGGGGAGAACTTGCCACGTCAAGGCATGTCTCCGGATTCGATCCGATCGCTGATCATGACGTCGCCTTAGCAAGCGGCTTCTATGGCAGCTGTCCTGAAGTCGCTTTGGAGAAACTTTGCACAAACCGTTGTTGTGCTCATAAAGCAAGCATTAGGGCAAAACAATTGGAGTTGCAGTTGCATGGTCTCTCAACGGGTGGTGCTGTTGCACTGCAAATGGTTTTGAACAGCTCCTATTTGGGTTCATCACAGCACTTACCGGTATGGAGTGTGCTTGTTATTTAACTCGTCTTACAGTGGCCACAAGGTCCCGTCTCGAAGAAAGTGAGCAGGACTGGGATTTCTCAGCTACACGTCTGATCCTGATGCAGAAGTTGCCTCCAACTATTGTGTTAGATGGTTTCTTCAGGGTTCCATGATTGTCAGCTGATGTTAGTCAAGCTGAACTAAATCCTGGTAATTATTCTTGTTCTCAGAGTAGTTACAGTTTTCCCTGCAGTGTGCTTTGGTTTGAGCTCCCATAGTCCTCTCTCATGTTTACTGGCTTGCAGACTGCGGTTTGCATGTGGGTGTGTACGCATTAGTGACGTGCATGCATGCATGCATGCATGCGGCCGGTGTCATCACTGTGATGTGACAGAAATCCGGAGGGAGGCTTTTTTGTTTTTGAGTGATGGCTCACACGCCCAGTGCCCCGCCCACGTACCCAGCCCCCCCACCGGCTCCTGGAATGCCTGCTTTTGGTGCCCGCCTTGCGCTTGACGTGCATCGCATGGCCTGTGTTGACACCGGAGCATAGCTGCATGACTGCGATAAACCAGTTTTTGATTCTTATTTGTTTGTTTATCTAAACAAAAGAACAGCTTGATGAAGAATAACGAAGAACAGCAGTCCCAGCCAGACAAAG